TTCCGCGCGGCGCCGCGGCGGGTCCCCAAGGCGCCCTGCTACGCGCCCTACACCGCGGGCCTGGCCTCGTCCGCGGGCCCGGATCCCACCGCCAAGGCGATGCCGTTGTATCAGCGCGTGGGGAGTCTGCAGGACTTCTACGCCTTCAACCCCTTCGTGGACTGCATCGGGGCCGGGGCCTTTTCCAAGGTCTACGCGGCCGTCCCGATCCTGCGAGGCCCCATGACCCCGGCCTGGCGCACCGCCCTGCGGGGCGGGGCCCACGGCGGCTTTGATCCCACGCCTCAGGCGGAGCCGATGCGGGCCGCGGTTTCGCCGGTGTTGTGGGGATTGCCCTCCCCGTCCGTCAGCGCGATGGGGGTCGCGGTCAAGGTGATCGCGTGCAACGACTTCGCGCGGCCCCCCGAGGAGGAGTTGCGCTCGATTTATTCGTACCGCCCCGCGAAGGACGCGATTAAGACAAAAGCCGAGAACCGCAACAACGGCAGTGTGGTGGCGGCGCGTAATAAGTGCCGTTTCAAACTGCTCGAGGTCGAGCGCGAGATTAGTATTTTACGCCGTTTAAGCCATAGTGGGTGCTCTCGATTTTATGAGGCGCTGCGGACCCCGGACGAGCTCTTGATCTCGATGCAGCTCCACCCGGGCTCCATGAATTTACGTCAGTACCTCGAGCGCTTCGGCCCACCGTCGGAGGCGCAGGCCGCGCTTATGATCTACCAGCTGATGGAGACGCTGCAGTACCTGCACAACGTCTTTGGGCTTATTCATCGGGATATCAAGCTAGAAAACCTCATTGTCTCGCTAATCCCCGAGCCCCCCGAGGTGATTCGCCAGGTGATGGGCGCGGCGGTGCGCCGGCCGAGCGCGGCCCCGCCGTCCCCGCCCCGAGCGGACGACCCGTCCCCCCTCAGCCCCTCGGAGGGGGATTCTTTTTCGACGGGGCCGCAGGAGTTGCGGCCCGCCCGCGGGGCCGCCGTGGACGCGGCCTCGATGCTGCGAATCACGCTCATCGACTTCGGCCTGGCGCGCCGCACCACGAAGCGTTTCCCGCCCGGGGGGGGCGGCGGCGGCGATAAAAAACATCCCGTCGGCCCGTCTTCCCCACACGGCATGCCCAGCCCGATGCCGTCCACCAATTTGCTCTGCCCGCTCCTCGAGGTGGACGGCAACGACGACGACGACGACGAGGACGAGGAGGAGGACGAGGGGGGGGCGGATGGCGAGGCCTACAGCACCG